TGGCATTCTGTTATTGCGGAAGCAATAAAAGGTCAGCAGAAAGGTCATTAGGAGGAAAAACATAAACTGGCTGATTTTATTTTATATATTGCAAAATTCTCAAAGCTAAAATCATACTGAAAAATGTAAGCGGAATTTAAACTGAGATCTAAGAGTGTAAGAGTTAACAGTCACAGCGGTGGATTCTCTTCTGCTACAACGAATGAGCTCTGTAAATTTCAGACTGCTGTTTTGTTCCCGACGGAATCTTAGGCGGGGAAGAAGGGAAGGGGGACATAGTTAGGAGCTTATGATGTACGAATGATATTTTGCAAAAAAACTCAAAGTCGAGATTCGCTTATCTCAAAATCAGATTATACGAAGTAAACTCAATTATTTTACAAACCTAAGCCGGTTTTATTTGACAAAGCCCATAGCATATAACTAAAAGGAAAAGTAATTTTACCAATACTTGGCTGTATAGCCGCGCGAAGCGGTTCCAGTCGAGGCCCACAAATTGACCCTTGCTCACCATAGAGTCTCCAGTAGCTCAGTGGTTCGTGGGTTCAAGTCCCATCTGGGGCTCGGATTTTTTCTATTACACTAAAAAATTGTTTCATCTTTGAAAAGTACTTTGACACAAAAAGTTAGATTCATCCCAGCTCAGATTCAAGTAATTTAGAGGTATTCAATTTAAGTTTCACTATTTTTGAAAGACGCCGTTTGTATTCCTTTCATTTTAATAGAGATTTGCAGCATAACAACATCACAACTTTGGACGACATCGCGTTCCTTGATCTCCGCAATCCAAAAGATCTGTAAGTAATTCGTTACTGTAGATATTTTAGGGTACAATTTTTCGGACTTCGAGACCTGGAATTGCTGTATGTTTTTATAAATTGAATATACCAGAATATTTACTTTGTTTTTGTTTAAGGTGGGTGAGCCATTTTGATTCTTAAAGTTGTGCACCTTAGACTAGAACGTTTCTCTAATATTCTTCAGCGATCTAAGTAATAACAAAATTGTGACGGTGTCTATGGACGTGTTGAAGGGTCTTCGTAATCTTAAAACCATGTAAGTATTTTGCTAGACATGTTGTCGTAGATTTCAAACCATTCAAATCATACTCATTAGCTATCACTAAGACAAATCATATCATCTCAACAAAATCATCGAGACTGTTTCTTTGTAGCACGGATTTGGAATTGAAAATACTCCAAGGAATATAGCTCGAGTAAAAGGTTAAGAACGCTTAATTCATGAAATTATTTCATGATGAGATGGGCAAGTTCAAAACCCTACTAGCCATGAGTGTTTCATTTTGCCTAAAAAAAAACATTATGGTTGTCCGATGTAATTTTCAATTGTATTTTGGCCAGAGAAATCCGAGATTGGTTCTGGTTTGCCGCAGTTTGAAATTGGTCTAAAAGACTTACGCACCGCCTCTTCAACCAATCAAATTCAAAGCTAAGACCAATCGCAAATTTGATTATTCGCATTTTCGCGCGCTCGAAGATTTCTTCAAAGGTGAGTTTGGAGTTCTCATTTGCTCCTTTGGATAGCCATCCTTATTCTCATTGGCTGTGGAAATTCCTTTTCGTTTGGCTTTACGATAAACAATTTAACGAGTCTTATTCAAGGTGCAGCAAGTTTGTTTCAGTACTGGCAACATGATCATCCTCGCCTCCAGGATCTCTCTCCCTCGCTTCCCTGGTGGAAGAGAATCTCTAGGACCGAGGTTGTACCTAATATATTCGTCTGATTTTGTTTTTTTTTTTTATATGTAACAAAGAGACCTGGACGCGAACAATATAACAAAGCCATTTGCTGTTAACGAGACAGATAAGGCAGACAGGAAACAGGCAAATCAAGAGGTCCTCCAAGGGTACAGGAC